TCGAAACAGTTGATGTGTTTGATGAAGATAGGCAGATAATACTCATACTCTCGCCTTCTGTCATACAAAAGCTAAACAAACACTTCGGCTAATGAACTCCTGCGATTTTCATACACACATACACACATACATACATACAATAGGTACTTATATATCTATAAATAGATAATGCACCTAAATACTTATTTGTGCACTAGCATTGCCATTAGACACGAATTACAACCTTTCGTCGGCATATCCAAGCCAGCGCAATCGTTGTATAAGTATGCGTTTTCACTGTGACCATTTATCTGCATAGAGCTCGTAGATTTTTCTATTCCATCTTTTCGTTGTCCCTTGCCCACGCGAACGGGGCCATACATCTTGTATAAAATAGTTCTCTCGAAAGCCGCCAATCGTGCTGTGTTTTTAATTTGCCTACCGAGCCTAAAGTAGCTCCTGTTGGCAAAATTATTCTTCGCTTGATCCCCAGACTCGCATTATTGGTGGTGTTTACATTGAATCCTAAGTAGAAAAAGTTCTTCACCACTTCAAAGTTATAACAGTCAAAAGTGACAAGAGTCGCAATACCCGAAGACTTTTTACTTGCTGCCAGAAGGTACTTTGTCTTTTCCGCGTTCGCCACTAGACGAACCTCTTCCCTTTTTAGCTTTTTTATGAGGTAAAATGCTGCGTTAACGTCACTGGGTGTCAGGCCGACGATGTCCATATCATATGGTACCAATGCGATTCAGATTGGCAGTTCGGCTTCCGCGCTACAGCATCAGATTGAAAAGGTCTCAAGGCAGTGAATCATCTTGTCTAAAACCTCATTTGGTCTCAAACGGCACAGAGAGCTGCTTCCCAATGGATCGTACAGGCAGCTTCTCTTCGTGGTATCAAAAGCGGCTTTAAAATCGACAAAACGATGGTGGGTGTTGATTTGCACCTGGAAAGGACGTAAAGCCGTAACTAACTAAATATCCAAAATTCACTTTTGGATTAAATATGATGCATCATTTCATCGAATTATAAGCCCCCACATCGCTTTAGGCAATAGTTAGTTGTGGCTTTTTTTTTGCAATTCAGCGACGATGTGAGATACGGCCTTTCCATACTATACTAACGATATACATACACGGCCGATGAGAAGTTGCTTACTTAAAGCAGGGTTAAGACACGAAATCAAATTTCTTAGTTGTTTGTTTTGACTAGAGATGTCAGTGGCAAAAATACATCGATGTTTTTATTTGATTTGATAGAACATTTTAAATAAATTACTGCAACTGAGCTAATTATGTTTTTAACGGAACTTCTTGCAGGCATTTAAATTTTTTGGGCAAAGTCACTTCTCTTTTTTATGCAATTGAAAAACTGGAATGACGGTTCAACGTACCAGAGATGTCAGTTTTCAAAAAACATCGATGCATCGATACATCGAGTTGAAAATTTTCGATGCATCGATGTTTTTCCGACATCCCTAGTTTTGACAGCAGCTTCTCGACTTCGTACTCTAGTCGCCTTGCCTGACGCACGTTCTTTACTTCACTGAGGCAGATGCGGACCTTAGCTGCGACTAAGTAGTTATAAATTTTGCGGGAATACTGAATTGTAAACTCGCAAAGAGATGGTATGTGACGCTCCTTAAGCTTTTACGCCTCTAATAAGTTTGACCTTGGAAAAGTCTTTGGAATCTATCAAAATTGTTTGCCATCTTGAACATATGAACGAGAACTTTTTGAGGTTTGCTAAAACTCTGGTAATTCTAAAGATGACCTTCAATACAAACCGAAGCTGTATAAGCTTTCATTGATCACTTATTTGTCCAACTATCGAACCTTAAGACGCTTTTTTTCAAGACATCGACGGTAGCCTATTAAATATTCGTTTGATTCTATTTAAACCTTACGGCTTAATTACTACTTCTGGATAAGAAAAATGTGTTTGATTTTAAGTTGATACCGAAACAAACTCCACGCTTGAAACTCCACACTCATAAATAGCTGCAATTAATATCTCGTTTTTTTTTTCTAATCAAAACTTCCACAAATTACATTAACAAACGGTTTTCTTTATTTGCAGTTACCATAAAGGTCAAAACGATTTGAATACATTAAATGCGCCAATTTGAAACAACTTTGAAGACAACGATAAAAGAAGCCTCGACTGCGCAAGCGCCGCGCTGTGTAGAGACTTATGAGCGCCCAAAATGGAAACATGGAATGTCAGCAAACAATTACGAAAAACTGAAAAGCAATTACAACAGAAGCGGTAAAAACCAAGTCAGCGTAGAGAGTATCAAAAACAACAACGGACGACTGGGCTGGGAAAAGGAACGGGAAACGAAATTAAAATTTGGAAAAGTTCAACTAAGCCTTTGGAAACCGAATATAGAAGAGGCGTAAACGTGCACAAATTCTCTCCACCCCAAAATTAAATGCCAAAATGCCAAAGCGATTTACAACCACACTATTTGAGTTACTCATTTTTGGACTGTTTGCACAAGTTTTTGCAGGCGTCTTGTCACCCGCACAAATATTGCGGCAACCAACACAGCCAGCATTCGATGACGCGGTGGAGAATTCAAAGACCGTCACCGCCAGTGACCGTGACATTGCCGCCGTGGTGGCAGCGACAACAACCGATCGGGGCGCCAGCTATAGCGACGATCAAATCAAATTGAAACTAAAGTCAGTAGAAGGTATCGCCGCCAATGCAAACACAGCTGACGCGGGCGGTGAAAGTGAAAGCAAGCGAGTGGAAAAAAGCACAAAGTTATTACCTGCATTGGGTAATAATCACACAAGTGCAGGTGAGCACAAGTCAAGCGAAAAGTTAATACTGAATCGGGTGGAAAGTCATGAGACGGACAGTGCGAGTGGGCAAGAAGAAGCCAAAACGGTTGAGGGTAAAAGAGAGGAAGAGGAGGAGGAGGAGGAGAGGGAGAGGGAAAGTCAGGATGAACGCGATTCAGAGGAGGCGGCGAATAAGCATTTGGGCGCAAACAATGCTGGTGCAGAACAGCAAATAGTGAGCAACAAGTATATAGGTGGCGTCTTTAGTCAAGCGGATGAGACGGCAGAAAAGTCGCAGACCCGCGAGACCTTAAAAACGCATGTCAACAACGGTTTGGATGAATTGGCGCTACGACTTAATAATGAAAAGACAAAAAGGAATGAATTTACGGAGGTCAAAGATGAGCCGCCAGCAACAACCGAGGGTATCTTAAAAGATGTAGAAGATGTAGCGGTGAAGGTTAGCAAAGCAACAACTGATCGTCCGATCACAAGTGAAGATCGTACTGAGGATGCTGGAAAAAGCTTGGCGAGTGTAGCGGAAAGCGGACACAAAGCAGAGAGTTTAGATGAAGCCAGCGAAACAATGGGCCGTTCAATGGATGCAGTACAGAGTAGCGAAAATAAGTTAGAAGCAGCTTTTGGGGAGAAGGCGCTCAGCGAAGAAATGCGAGGAAAGGAAATTATGGTTACATCCATGCCAAAACCAATATTAGCAACTAAAAGTGGCACTGAAGAAACTGTAAGCTCACTTGGAAAAGGGGAGAATACCGGCATGGATTTGGAAGCAACAACCAAACCGGACCAGCCAACTCAAAATAAACACCAAATAAATCAAACCGAAACAGATGTCCCCGCGCAGCAGCAGCTACTGCAGCAAAAGGCGCAAGCAGCCGAAATAGACCTGCAGCAGCAGCCACGTTCAAGCGCAGCTGTCACGATCGAGGCTGAAACTGATACGATAACAACAACAGCAGCCGAAGAGATGATGCACACGCAAGAAGAAGTTGCCAATCAGTCGCATATTAGCAGCACTTCCTCAGCCGAGAAGCGGGGCAAATTCATCAGCGGCAATTCGACAAATTCGCGAAATATGAATTTGCCTGACGCGCCGGAGGTTTGGTCCCTCGCAGGTATGAGAATGGTGCCCAAAGTAATGCATAACAACGGCACGTCCACGCAGGTCACCGAGGAGAGCAGAAGCAGTGCGGATTCTCGTTGGCAACTAAATGAAATCGTAACCACTGAGCGCACGCCGAATGTCAGCAGTTACAGTGAGAAAAATTTGTTAGACTGGACGAAAGTAATGGGAATGCGCGGCGAGTTGGAAACACACGACGCCGTGGAAAGAAATCACATAACAGAGGGAACGTTGGAAGAGGATGGAATAGAGACAGGGAAGGAGCCAAAGACAGACGTGCCCTTGCAGGCGCTGCTAGAGAATTGGCGAACTGAGGGACCTTCTCAGATCGAGCACAGTACCAAAAACAATGAGTCCACATTCCTACAGACTACCGAAGGCAACGCCAAGTTGAATGTAAGCGAAAAATCCACCGTCCCATATGTGATGAATGAAATTGATACACTTCAAACCGTAGCAGCAACAACAACAACAATAGCACCTACTGGTTTAACCAACACACAAACGCCATTAACAAATGACTCCCCCTTATCAATTGATAAGAATAATAAGCATGCGGATTTTATAGCCACCATTGTGGCAGCTGACGTTGGAGAGTCGCTGAATAATTCATTGTTGTCGTCGACTGCGTCCACTGAATCACCCACGCAGCGTCAGAGCGCTGACCCAACAGCTGTAGGAAATTTGAGCGCAGTTGTGGAGAGCAACACACAACAGCAGGCAAGCGATGATTTCAATTTCATTGTTATGTCAACGACGCCAGTGGCAGTGGTGGGGAAGGAAAACGACACAGCGGCAGCTAACGTAAAAACATCGGCAATAACAACAACGGCTGCGTCGCTCCCAGTTGAGCAGTCAACCTCGACGACATCACCCTCCCACAGCGACGCGTTGGCAACACCAAAGCTTTGGGCAAATGCAACGGCACTGGAGACGCAACCT